ACCGTTGGAAATCCGTTTGATGCGAAGAACGAGCAGGGACCTCAGGTAAGATGACGTATATACCGCCTAACCACCTTCACAGCGTCATTCGAATGCGTCTTTCGACGTGAACGATCCCTGGGACGATGATACTTTTTACGCGAACATTTACGTCAATAAATACACTCAAAATTCAACGCATACAGTGATGACGTAGGTGACGAACATCCCAGCTAGAGGCAACATGTATTTCATGAAGTCGTCCGCATTCGTTTGTCCAGATCGATAAGGAGCAGCACGATAAGATCTTGAAATATATCGACCTTGGTAAGAAGGAGGGAGCAAAGTTGTTGACGGGAGGCGGACGCTGCGGCAGTAAGGGCTTCTTCATCGAGCCAACTGTGTTCGGAGATGTTACTGATGGCATGACGATTGCGAAGGAGGAGGTACTGTTTCCTTGCAAACCGTGGCATAGACACATGGACGTGTGTGTGCGTGCGTGCGTGCGTGTGCGTGTGCGTGTGCGTGTGTGTGTGTGTGTGTGTGTGTGTGCGTGTGTGTGTGCGTGTGCGTGTGCGTGTGCGTGTGCGTGTGTGTGTGCGTGTGCGTGTGTGATTGTTTATGTAGGTGTGTATACGCGCGCGTGTGCGCGTTTGTATATAGTAAGCGTGCGTGCATGCCCTATGTATAGGTCTGAATATGCGGATATGCGTTTGTGTATGTGGCCGCGACGAAATAGAATATACATACTAAATAATACATTAGGATAGTACTCTCGTATGCACCATTTTCTGCTGCTTATTACGACGAGCTTCTAATCTGTGACAGTCTAGGCCCTAGGGCCTGTCGCGCGAACGAAGAATATCATTCGCAACGGTGAACTCATCCGTGTGTATTAACCGCGAGTGTTTTATACCTACGCTGTAGATATTTGGCCCCGTGCAGCAGCTCATGAGGTTTGACACGATGGATGAGCTGTATGAGAGAGCGAATAACACCATGTACGGTCTGGCGGCAGCAGTGTTCACTAAGGACATGGACAAAGCGATGATGGTCGCACAGAACGTGAGAGCAGGCACCGTCTGGTGAGTCACCCGTGCGAGGAAATGTCAGAGTGTCTGCGATTTGTGGTTTACTGATACTGCTTAAGGCCGTCGCACACCTATCCAAAAATCGGTCCGATTAAAAAATGAATACGTTCGACAAGCTTGCCTTCACGGGGTCAACAGAGGTCAGCTGTTTAATTTAATAAAAATTAAAAATTAAATTAATGTCATCAGAGGGCAGCTGTTTAATTTTAGCTTTCACGGGGTCAACAGAGGTCAGCTGTTGAATTTAATAAAAATTTTAAATTTAATTAAAGTTAACAGAGGTCAACTGTTTAATTTGAGCCTTCCCGGGGTCAACAGAGGTCAGCTGTTTAATTTTAGCGTTTTCTTCATCGTTTGTAAAATCGGCTCATCGACCGATAAACACCCGCACACCTACGATAAAATTGATTATTTAAATCTCCCTCAATTTCGTTCGTCCACGCTTTGTCTATGGTAGGCGCCATTTTGAATGTCATGTGACACGGGCACGTTTAGCTATTGGCTGTTCAATATTTATCGTAGAGGATTTTTCTGAGTTCACGCGCACACCACAAAACCTTGTCGGATTACACAAAATCGCTTCAAAATAATCGGTTCAAAATCAAACATGTTTGATTTGGAACGATCACCCGATAAAAATAATCGTAAGTAAAATCGTCTACAAATGAACGCGCACATCTACCCGATATCGGCTGATTTTTATCGGGCCGATCAAATCGCGTGAAAAATCGGCTGGTGTGCGACGGCCTTAAGACTTAATCAACTTATTACTCTAGGTACCAACTAGATTATTGTATGTGAACAATTAATTTTAGTTACTTTAGCTGAGAAGGGCGACGCTTATCCTTTAACGTGCTCTGTTAGCGTGTTTATTTCGAACATAATTTCGTGTTTCTCCCACTTTTACGACACTTACAGTTACTACTTGAGTAAATAACAGCAACTGTTTAGAGTAGCATTAACATGTCTTATAACGTAATCTTCGTACTTAGCTATAAAATATTCTTCAAAACATACACGCTTCGAATTTTGATTACTCGTTTTGATTACCGCCGTTATCACGCATACTCCGCAGGCGATTAATTAGTTCAGGTAGGCGATCAATTAGTTCAGGTAGGCGATCAATTAGTTCAGGTAGGCGATTAATTAGTTCAGGTAGATGAGTCTTTGAAATGCAGTAGCTTATCTTTCACCGAGCCGTGATACACATTGCGTTGTACACAACACGCGTAGTATACACATACTAATCACAGTATTCACACATGTGGCAAAGCACAGGCACTTGGAACGTTTTCAATAGTAAGATGATGGTAAATAAACACGAAATGTATTTACTACCAAAGTCGTAATATTTTTCAACTCTCTTTCGCCTATTATTACTGTTAATTTCCAGTAAGATTATCAGTAATAATAGGCGAAAGAGAGTAGAGAAACATTAAGACTTTGGTAGTAAATACATTCCGTGTTTATTTACGATCCTTTTATTATTGAAACGTTTCAAGTGCCTGTGTCGCAAAGAGTAGAATGGATCATTGGGGGTTTGGGTACACATGATTACAACGGACTAATTGCATGTGTGTGAAATGTGTTTGAGCCTCGCCGATATACCAGGCATGAATAATGACAAATATACGCATGTCGCTGCTGTATATACAAGAACGCGTAAATCATGGCTGAACGTGTATCACAACGTCTAGATCAATATTCAATGATAGAATATTTGGTCGATGGCTTCAAAATTGGGTGATGCATGAATCTTGCTAACTATATACGATATGTGGCCAAATAAGTAAGTAAATAAGACCAATCATTACCGGAACGTTTTAACACGGTTTTCTGGAACAGGCCGGCGGTGTACCTACACATCGTGTGTTTATTTATCAGTCACGCATATGTCGTATATTGTGATTGCAGGATCAATATGTACAACAACTTTGATGCAGCCGCCCCGTTTGGAGGTTACAAGATGTCTGGTAATGGTAGAGAGAAGGGCGAGTATGCACTGGAGGAGTACACCGAAGTCAAATGTGTAAGTGTCTCACAGCTCAGGCCTTGTGTACCAAACGTAGGTCACTAATGTCTCTTGCAAGCAACATTAGTATGCTATATTACACAATTTTTCGTGCTCACATGATTCTGCAAAGGACATGGCATAAATGTTGCTAGCTATGTGTAATCATGAGCTAATAATACCTAGAGTGTACAACGGGAAAACGGGAAAATAGTGTTATTTTACGGCAAAATTATTCTACTATAACTGCAAGTTTAGAATAATTAGGTATTATTAGCTTTTCGTGTGATTCGTGAATACGAGATGAGCAATTAATAAACACCAGACAATTAGTAAGCGATATAGATTTTGATAACTTTGTTTGCATTGGCAGGTGATGATGAAGATTCCACAGAAGAACTCGTAAAACGCAGGCCGATGTAAAGGTCTAGTTTCAGTAAAAAAAGTTATTTGATTAAAAAACAAAATACCCGATAATAGTATATTATCGTAGTAGACATTTCCGATATTCCATTTATGATTCCAATTTGTGTACAATAAAAAACTTTTATGCTTCCAACCCAGATATATATTAATAAATATCATCCTAATTAGGATGGCGCCTTTCGACATTTTTCAACATCTGACAGTTTGAACGGGACTTCTAAGCCTTGCGTTTTATAAGCCCTCAGCTCTAACTCTAGACTAGTATTCGTGTTACATTGTGCCGATTAGGGACTCTATATCAAAACATGGACATTCGTTATTGCAACTCGTATGCAGATTGTTAGACTGTATAGCGAACCGGCAGCAATACGCGTAATAAACCTAACCATGTATTTTCTCCAATCGTGTGTATCAATATTACCAGTGCTTAAATGTTTAGATGTTTAATGTTTATTGTTTAATAATATCATAGTTTAATTTAAGCAAGAGTCCATAATAGAATTATTTCATATGATTTATTTCTATTGTGGACTCTTGATTTATGTTTAGACTAATGGTGACCATTCAGGGCCGTAGTGGCCTCCCAAAAAGTGCCACTGCAGAAATATGTAGCCGATGCTGGGGGTCTGGGGGTACTCCCCCAGAAAAATTTTGAAATGTAGAGCCTGGAAATGGCATTTCCTGCATTTTCAGGCTATGTTAAAAGCAACCAATTCTGATCATTTTAAAAGGTCAATTTGTAAATTTCAAAGAGGAATGTAGCTATGGCTCATGTTTTGACTAAAGTATCTAAAATATATATTATGAGTATGATAACTAATAAAACATTATTTACAAAATTGTATATACTATCAGTACATAATTATGAAAAATAAGAGAGATACGCAAAAATGTAAGATCTGCATGGTAACATAAACTTAATCTGCTGGAACGGGAAATATTCTTAAAAATGGCGATGCCACTGGAACGGAAGTTAGGTTAGGGTTGAAAATGGGGTCTCTCCGTGGCACATACCTACCATGCATATATATGGAGTGCGCCTCCCCCCGACCGCAGCACGACGCAGTTTAAGGCTCAACAATGCAATGGTCATGCATGGCACCGAGACATGTTAGACAAGGTAGATGAACAGGATATAAATTTCAGATTTGCAAGTTGCCATCCAAGCAGTAAAGATAAAATTGGAATAATAAAAAAATAAAATGACAAGTTATCTGACTGGACTGTCTGGTATTATTACTATTAATACTGATCAATTAGAGGTGTTATATCAGTGCTCTAAGATTTGGAATGTGTATTTAATATGACAAGTCCTATTCAAATTCAAACTTCAAAACATACAAGATGTACATAGTGAAAGTATAAATGCAGATTGAAAATAGGCAAAAATTTTAGGAAAATTTTTCATAACTATGTACTGATGGTATATACAATTTTGTAAATAATGTTTTATTAGTTATCATACTCATAATAAATATTTTAGATACTTTAGT